CCATATATCTGTCAATAGCGGTTCAGACTTTGACTATTATTTTAGACATAACTCCGTAAAGTGCTTTTGTCGACTGGTTTATGTGTTTAATAAATTTTACTTTATATGTTTGTATTAACATTTTTGATGTCAATTGGCTTTCTTTTGCTAGAAAAACAGTATGCTTCAAGTTTATATTGATTGTACGCATTGCTTATGCTTCCAATGAATGAGTGCCTATAGTCTCTTTGCAAAGAACACATTGTGTTCAGAAATATATTTTAAGTATAAACATATGTGTATTTAGATTGTACATATGTACATTCTTGTATGGGAAGTCCCTATCGTGACCAACAGTGTGCGTAAAAACTCTTATTTTACATTATATAATAATTTGGAGATATTTAGAGTACAGAGTTCAGAATTATTCAGACTAAAGAATTCACAATATAAAGAGCGTTCCTTTAATTTCGAACAGAAAACAAACCTTAAGCCCGCCCTTATCTTAGGTATTTTGCAAAACACGTCTTCACTTCGCAAACGTAGACCTTATAAAAATAAAACATTTTATAATTTTGTTGTGAGTGCCATATTATTTAATATTTAAATTTATGACTGGCAGCAAGCTCACTAATACGGACAGTATTCGAAATTTTGGTTAACAAAGTGTGCAATTACCCCATATTTATCAAACACAAAATCCATTTGCTCACTTTTAATACGATTTTTAACAGTTTTTTTTAAGAGTTAATCCTAAAAAATAAAAACGGCAAAAATAAGAAGTTGCCATAAATAAACAAGAAAAGGAGTTAACACAATTTAAAGTGGCTAAATATGGGTAAAAATCACTTCAAAAAAAACAGACAATGTTCTGTGTGCCAAGATAAACTTAATTTCAAAAAGAAACAAATTGCCGTGGAAACACAGGATTCCAAAAATTAATTAATTAATTCTTTAGGCAGAGAAGTAAATTCCACGACGAAGCTCTTAAAGCACAAGCTTCCTAAGGCTATCGGCTTTATTGAAAACTCTAAAGCACTTGAGATTTGAACGCAATATTATTGAGTTCTCAGTCGAGACCATTTGTCTAAAGAGGAAAAAAATTCAACCACGGCAAAGCAAACAAATATTTATTTATGTAATTTATTTAATGAAACTTATGTAACCTCGAAGCCAATAAGCCCTATTATGACAGATTACAACGTAGGTGCAATAATAAAGTACCATTATATAAAATGTGCTTAACCAATCTAAAGGAGAATAAAAGAAAATTGAAGGTAAAGACAATCAAAAAAATAAAAGAAAAAGGAGACGGGAGAAGAAGGTAACTAAAGTAGTATGAAAAGGAAATAACACACGTTACAACCACAACAACATTCCAGTACAAAGTAACTTGCTAATCTCATTATTAGCGGCGAAGGTTAAAAATATACGTTTATAGGTGACATAACAGCATCTAAATTCTCGCTACTTCCGAGGCAGGATAATATAATGTAGACGTTAAGGAGAAGTCAAACTTTAATAAAATTGGCGAAAGAACAACTTAGAACATAATCTTAGATATCCTCATACTGCTTCAAGGAAAATACATATCTACATAATAGTCTTAATTTCCTCAGCTCTGAAGGTTTCGTGGAACTATAAACTTCTATAGCATAAACTATATGTGGCATAATCACCGCTCTAATTTTGACTTGTATGGATATATGGACATTCAAAGAATAAAACTTGCTAAGTAGGAAATTGGTGCCAGAGCACCGGGAGTCAGCATCAAAGCATAACTTATTATCGATAATCACCGCCAAGTATTTCAAGCCATTTGCCATTTCAACATTGACACCACCTGCCCTTAAGTCAAAATGCAGATGTACATTTGCGGGTCGGCATATCGCAAATGGTTTAGCTCAATTCACCTCATTTCCCGTCGCTCAACGAGAAAACCAGTCCAAACGGTAGTCAATCTTAACTTGATATCCCTCCAAATTATCAATATTTCACGCAAATAAAATTTGCAAATCATCAGCAAATGCGTAGTCCTTACACAAAGCTAGAAGAAATCATTCATACACCCGGTGAAGTACAGAGGGCCAAGATCAATCCCTGAGGCGCACTATTGCGCACCTTCAACGGGTCAGACATAATAGCACCCACTGATGCAAATTGTAAACGATCCGAGAGATAGAATTGTACCAGAGCAGCAGCTGAATTCGAAAAGTCCCTCACGAGTTTATAAATCAAAAGTACACGTGACACCCTATCGAGGGGTTTACTTAGATCCATTGATAACAAAACCGAGGTATGCTTATCAATTACCGTACGTCGCATTGAATCCGTAATAGTGCAGAGTAAAAATTGTCAAGATGTCAAATAATTTTTTCCTTAATTATATGTTCAAAAACCTTCGAGAAAATAGGCAAGATTCAAATCCGTTCGAGGGATAATAATATATAATATATAAACATCAATCCATGGAGAAATTAATTTCAAAAACTTAAAAGAGAAACCACACACACCTGACACATTAGATGTAATTTTATCAAATGCCGCTAAAAGTTTTCCCATGTTTGTACCACAAAGGAGAACAGCTTGTAATAGTCACTTAAGCCTGGCCAATATTTAGCAGTGTTTAATTGAATGATGATCAATATCATTCACCTCAGCGGCACCCACACTTATATCTTCAGTATCGTTGAACCTAAGTTGGTGTAATTTACGCCACAGCTGTTTATTGTTTGAACCTCTCTCTGAAAGTCAGCACGTACGCATTTCTTGTGTATTTTATAATAATATATTTTGTGTGTTTATAATATTCCTTTTTGCTCAATAGATCCTCCAATTATCATCATTCTTGTCATCTAGATACGCCTTGTAAGCTAGATTCCGTAGAGAAAGGTAACATTTCACTACAATTAAACCAAGACTAACAATTGACAGCAGCCTCGCGTCTGACTTTGGGTATAATCCCATGAATTAGATCCAAGGGACCATTCAAAATATTGATCTAATGATCCACATCCGAAGTATTGTATATACTATTAAAGTCACATGCGGCAGTCCTGGATCTCAGTGCAGTAGTATGCGTTACGTTATAATCGTAACTTTCCGAAGATTTGCTCACTGTATGGAAGCAAGTATTAAGAGCCACATAGATAAAGGCATGGTGTGAGATACCTGCCACCTGGAATTGCCCAGAAGCTGATAGCTCCATATTGCCTATTAAGAAATAGTCATATAGGGAGGTAGAGCCGCATGTTAAATTATAATGGGTATGAAGAGGGATTGTGAACAACCGACATATTTGGCCGCTGACAGAAGTTAAACGTGAAGGATGACTTCGTACGATTATATCAATTCCAATTGAAATCACCCATAGCGTACTTGATTAAAACGTCAACGACCACGCAGGGAGCAGACATCGCCATGCGGCAAATAAACAATGCCAATTAGTAGTTTACCTCCAGACGACTCTAGTTCGACAAATAGGCTCCGCATTCGCAACAGAAAACCTAAGTGCATTCGAAGTATATTACGCTACACACCCACCCTTCGTCGCGTACCTGTCGTTGCGGCACAAACCATATTCCGGGATTTTCACCGAATTTAACGAAACATATTCCGTGTTGGTCTCCCAACCGCTTTCACAAATTAGATTCCCAATTATAATTTAAACGTTAACAATTGATATGAGTAGTCTTACAGGTGTCGCCAGTGTTACTTAGAAGGAAAAGAAACGGGGTATGATTTTACCTTTTATGAAATTACCTACATTATTATTCGTATTCACAAATGATAGCATTATAATAACAAAACACAGGATGTTAGCGAGAAATTCGAGATTCTAAAAAAACCAAAGGAAAAGCTTCATTTATAGAATAATACAAATGAGCTCCAAATATATAACAGCTTGACTTAAAGTCTATGAAACTTCAGAAGTGTCCGGTGGTACCAGGGAATTTGATGATCAAATCCACACAAGGATGCAGTCGCATTGTCGCTGCGGAACCATTCAACCTTTTAATAATCTTTCTTTTCCGTAAAGCGCTGCAAATTGTTACTAGTTTGTATTACGCAGGAGTTAGGCGATCATCCAATCTGAATTCGACTGTAATTTTCTAAAGTTGAGTTTCATGTATAAATGAATAAATAAATAAATAAATTCCTTTATTTTACACAAATTTTACCCGTGCGAACAAATAATTGAAATTAAAAAGGAAGTCACCAATTGGAGTACTGCGTCATCATCAAAATGCAAGGTATTTCAAAATATACCTGGAGAAACGCTTGAATGAAAATTTTGAGAGTTCTCCGTGAGTACAATATAAAAATTAATGCAACAATTGTTAATTCAAAGCTAAACGACATATCGAGTAATAGCTGTGTGTCAAAGACTAGATTTCAATACAAGAATGACAGATAATAGCGAGAGAAAGTGGACTTGTAAGTCTTATGTGTCCTTAATTATAGAACTGAACTTTATTGATTTTAGGACAACAGTTGCTTACCACTTTAAGAGGATTGGAGGCAACTAAAATAAATACACTTGCCTTAACCCATATAAGAACCATCGCAACCTCCTAGCCGAAAGGGCTCGTGTTACGCCCTAGGCTACTTTTACAATACCCTATTCTCCGCCAACCCGTGATTTTCAATGGGAGACCCCGAAGTTGGATCCGATGACCACTAAGCAGCTTCCCTCAGAAAAAAAAAAATTTCTAATTCACTTTTATATTTTTTTTACAATGAAAATTTTTTACACATCTATTGAGCAAATAGAAAACCTTCTAAAGGTTCACACAAATGATTTAATGACACACTAAATATGGCACGTGTAAGTATTTATAAAAAAGCAAAAAACATAAAATCATATCAGGGATAGTTAACGCGTAATCTTGATGCCGCTGCATTTCACATTGCATTTGTATTTACGGAAGATTCATCCGCGCTGAAGAATTCAAAATAACTGAATAGAGCTACGTTTCCGCCGACGAGATGAGCATACCAGATTTTAACCATTGTATTACACTTTGTGCGTTGCCGTTGTGGTTTTTGCTATAACGCGACGTGTTCGATTTTGTCTTATGGGTGTGTTATACATATCCAGAGTAATGCCTTCAGTACTGTTTGCGGTAGCATCGGCAAAATACTCGTTTTTCTCCTCGTCATTGTAGTCTCTTTTCATCTTTTTGCTGTTATTGAATGCTCTACGATTGAGCACTAAATCTTCATCGACCTCGCCATTGGCCGCTTGCTCAGCACTATTGCCACTGTTAATAGTCTGTTCTCTCTCATCGAAATTTTCTTCTTTATATTTCATGTGCAAATGCTAATCATTTTCAAGTTTAATGTCACTTATCGTGATTTGTCCTTCCTTTTGCTTTTGTCGTTTTATATAATTGCATTTTGAAGACGTAGAAAGACATTGAGTTACGTTACCCGAAAATGTGTAAGTAAGTGGGTTTATATATTTGTCGATAACGTAAATTAAAATAAATATATCGCCAGACACAGATTTTTTCAAAAGTTTCGTCTGCCAAAAGACTATTTTGAATACATTTTAGAAGAAATTTTTACAGGTAACCGTTAGTTGCGCTTTTCGTGCTTTTACGTGCTGTAACAATGATATAAATATACCTAATATTTATTGAAGTGACTGAATGTGGAGCTCACATTTATATTTGAAAGCCCGCACAAAACGAGGAAAGTTTTATAAACCGAAAATATAAGGATAGCCTGAATGGAGTAGTGTCGGGTTAATATCTACAAGTACATATTTTTGCGTATACATATGTATTTATAATATTTTATTCATTACAATTTTGTGGGTGATGCAGCATTTGCTACAGGGGACATCCTAGTGAGGCCTTACTCTGGCGTTCTTTCATCATAAGACAAGGAAACTTTCAGTAGAATGTTATCCCGAGGTTGAAAGATAATCCAAAATGCTTCGTCTCGTTGAAGGGTGCTGTTAAGCCGCATCCAAACGAATTCCTGGTGCAGCAGTGGTAAGAGCCATCTTTGTCTTGCCTAATTTTGTGAAAATGTATGACGGGTCCGCAATGCAAGGTACACGTTCAACTACATTCAAATACACAAAATCAACTTTATTTTGACTGCACGTTTGTCACGCATAACGAAAGCTTGGTGTTTCGCGCATATTTCTACAACCAAAAGATACAAAGGCTTAAGATAGACCCAACATTTTTCTGAATCGATTCAAGCTTACCTGTGCATCTGTCGGTATGCCCGTCCCTCCGTTTAATGTCAGTCCATATATTTTTGTGTTCAACGTACAGGTCGCAATTTTTGCGATTTTTGATTAAATTTAATAAACTGACATATTTTAAACTAAGGACGAACCTTCTTGAATATGTTTTGGATCGGAGCACTTCCTACATAACGTTTCATTCTAAAAAGTCGGTATAAAACTCGCTGAATAATAATACTTCGACATAAAAAAAATTTGGATCGGCTGGAACAATTTTATGAACGCCTTTTCATATAAAAGTTACTACGAAAACTAAATCTTTACATGGTAAAAGGATACAATTTTCAATATTTCACATAGTACACATGGTTCTATGTATTTGTGCCCACTCCACCTAAAATTTCTCATTAATAGTAAGCCATTCAGAAAAAAATTGTATTCTTAATATTTTATAATGAAAATAATGGAAAAAGTAAACGGTAGGGAATCTGGATCAAATAGGTCTACTTAAACATATGAAGGCGTTATCTTGAAAAGCAAGTCTTTATAAGAGAGTCTGGACTTAAGACTGAAAACAATAAGATTTGGGAAGTAAATTAAGTTTGCCAAATTTGAATTACGCTCTGTGATGTAGTGGGCATCCTGCAATACGCGGGCTTTCATGATTAAAATGTCTTTGCATGAAAGTAATGTGCAATTTTTGGTGTATTATCACCGGAACAAGTGAATAATTGAATTAAACGAAGTTGTGTGTCTAATAGCCGGCCATGCCCGACTATAGTGTTGTTGTTGTTTTTTTTTTTTTTGTTTTTCTTTTTAACGCACTTCATCATAGGAGGTATAATAAGTTAATTTATTGTTGCTTTTGTACGTATGCAATTAAACAGCGGCAAACTATTATCCGTTGCTGACAAGTATCTTCGCGCCCTCACGCCTTGATATGTTAGAACAAACGCACACATATATATATAAAACAGCCTACAAGAAGACGATTTTATTGTTAAACATATGGAATCTTCAACTCAAATAAAAATCGCGTCTTCATTACATCCTACATCGTGGTATTCTGATTTAAGTGTTTGAAAATCATTAAAGCCCTCAGCAATCAAAAAAAAAGTTATATTCGGCTAAAGCCGTATCTCGCGTACCCACCACTATCTTTGACACACTATCCTTTTACTTATTTTTATAAAAAAGTCAATGGGAAAAAATTTATCTTTCGTTTTTCAATTCACTAATAGGTGTTGTTAAGAAAAATTAATCTACGACCATCGTGATGTTCACCATAATTCACTTAGAGTTAACACCCTCAACTTTTCGCGTTCTTCTTTCCAAGATCTTTTATTTGACATGGACGCCATTTTTCAGTAAAAATTTACCCACCAAGTCGTGACGTTCGCCACAATTCATTTACAATTAACTACTCTTAGCTTTTCACCATCTACGCTCCCAATCCTTTTATTTGATAGCTTTATCGCTGGTGTTATTAAGAAAAAATTAATCCGGCAGATCGTGATGTTCATCATATTTATTTTAGAATTAACGCCTATCTAGATAGATAATATATCTTCATTGGAGAAATGTACAAAATAATTTTAAACGTTCTGTCTTGTTTACGTTATGATTAACAAGCGTAAAACCTCAAAAGGCTTAAAAAAAGAAAATTTAATGACTTGTGACTTTGACATACATAGTACATAATAGCACATAGTGACGTAAATAGTACAGTTTCTCTTAAAGTAAATGTGGAAAATTTCAGCCTTCCATCTCTTACATTTTATGAAGAATGTTCAAAAACCCACAAATTTTGTTTATAAAAACAGAGTTGCTTTCATTTTCCGCTTAATTGCGGGCTTTTGTTCTGACCAATTTGGTCAGTTTCCAATGCCAACCTGCATATAAAAACGTCCAAACTTTTTGCCAAATTTTAAGTCGATATATTCACTTTTCCGTCCGGGAGAGTGTCAACGACGCACAGACGGACAGACATAGCTTAATCAATTCAGAATATTATGCTAATAGAGAATGTATGTATTTTATAAGGTGTACGAAGCTTCTTTTGGATGTTGGATTACATTATGACCATCCTTCAGTGGTGGATATAAAAATCTACATTAAAATCATTACCAAAATGTTTTTTCTCTATATTGCTAATCGCACTTTTAATTTTGTTCTTTATAAACTTTTTGTGCGAATATTTTTAATAATAGATACTGACTGGTGAGTATAGCTGACGCACATACACACTCTTATTAGCAAGCGTTACGTTTGAGCGATATGCCATAAAATATAGCCCCTATGACATTAAAACAACCTGCTAAGGACTCAAAAAAGCGAACAATAGTTTATCATTGCTGAAAATTCTGTACCGAAATGTCCGTGATACGCAATACATCTCTTAATTTCGTACATTGTGGCTTTCATGTCATAACATTCACCCAAACTTCGTTTCAGCGGTAGATTATCGATAGTGGAATTTTCTGTTCAGGTTTCCATACTTCATATTTGACAGAATCGACAAAACTAGTGGTAATTGCAGCAAACAGCTGCGCATCCTAATCCGTGACCTATCTCAGTATACCTGTCACGTTAAAATCAAGATGCATTCCTTTAATCCATATATTATATGCTCAAAAATTCATAGGTTTTCAAGGACGAGCTTGAATATATATTTCGTATCTATTGATATGCAATGGGTTTCTTAATGATGAACGCATCGATCATGTTATTTTCAACTTAGCTACATTTTCAATTCAAATAAAAAGCTGCTAGGCTTAGTATTTTGATTTCTATCTTATATATAAAATTTATTTTTGTCTTACACTGATCAATTTGTTACACCTAAAGATAGTCACTAACCGGCGTTTCTGCTTACAGAACATTATCTGTTAGAGAATGAACTGTGTTAGTTACACAGTTAATAGCCATTTTTTTAAAGTATTTCTTTAATTATGTATAAACATAGAATCTTTGTACATCTTACAAATGGTAAAAGCGGGCCGATTCTACTCATTTTGAAAATCGCTCGTTCTTTGGCCAAGAAAATATTAGTGTACCAAGTTTCACTAAAATATCTCAACAATTTAGACGAGGAAACATCATTACATTCCGAAATTATTTTGAAGCGATTGATATAATAATAGGGGGATTTACCTCGAAAAAGAGGTATAAGGTATAATAATCCTGAAAAATTAAGAACAAATTAAAATGAAAATATAAATTGAATCGAAAATAAAATTTCAATGTAACTTAGACTTTAAATCATTGAATTACACTCAATAATGAATTTCTCGTTAGGGTAATTAACAAATTCAAGATAACTCAAGATAATCCAGGATAAGATCTTCGTAGGATATCGGTTCATTCGACGAAAGGTAGACGTATATGTTATAGTCATGGTCATATTTACGGATTCATTTTTATGTGATTGTTTGGGTTGGTAGTCTAGTACTTTTTGGTTAGGGAGCACAGAAAGCATTTTCAAACGTTAATGTATTAATCTAATATTTTGAGACTATTTGACTACAAATACTCCAGCTGAACAATATTTGAATTTCAATTACGCAGAATATAAATAAAGCCAAATAAAACTAATGGAAAGCTTACTCCATAGTAAGATCGGATAAATCTTATTCCTTTTGGTAAAAACACACGGTGTTTGAAATAATAACATTATCGCTGATGTTGTAAATTATGTAGGCTAAAAAGTTTTTAAACTCTTTGATTTAATGTCTTCAAAACATTCTTCACGATTTGAATAATAAGTGAATATGTACGCGTGCAGTGCATGCGTTCACTTCTCTTCGTTAATCAAAACATGTATGTATGCGTATATTTTGTAGTTCCCATTAAGTTATAGATAGTAACGTGCACAAATGTATGAATTCGAAAAATGAATTATTTATGTAAGATTTCTATTTTAGTCGTCGTTTTATTGCCAGAAGTATTGAAAGTCAATGAAGCATTTTTTTTCTTAGGTTTACAAGTGTCTGCAATTAAATCCCTTTGATTGCAATGTTTTGCTATACACATGCAGTTAAGTGTGAAAGAAGTCTTCTACTGAGTGTATATGCGGTTCCTAAGTATATATTTTACTTTAGCTATTTAAA